GTTCAAGGTATATAGTTGCAAGGCTAGGCCTAGATCTGAAACTGGTTTTTTAGTTCCCATTTCAGTGCTTTCTTCCTGATAACCATTTGCCAGTGCCTGGCTGTCATCCCCAACATCTGCTGCAGAGCCTAGCAGTCACATGGGTGCTCAAGCAATAACTGGTGAAATATATATATTTTAAGGGACAGGGTCTAACTTTGTTCGCCAGTTTGGTCTTGAGCTCCTGGACTCAAGTGATCCTCCTGCCTCAGCCTCCCAAAGTGTTGGCATTACAGGCATAAGCCACCATGCCTGACCCTAGTTTTGACAAATGCATACAGTTCTGTAGCCATCACCACAATAAAAATATACAGTCATCCCTCAGAATCCATGGGGAATTGGTTCCAGGACCTCCTACAGGTACCAAAATCCACATTTGCTCAAGTCCCTGATATAAAATGGTACAGTTAGCTAGGTGTAGTGGTACATACCTGTAGTCCCAGCTACTTAGGAAGCTGAGACAATAGGATCACTTGAGCCCAGGAGTTTGAGAAAAGTCTCGGCAGCATAGCAAGACTCCATCTCAAAAAACAAGAATGGTATAGTAATTATATATAACCTATGCACATCCTCCCATGTATTTTAAAACAGGGGTGTCCCATCTTTTGGCTTCCTTGGACCACACTGGAAGAAGAATTGTCTTGGACTACACATAAAATACTCTAACCATAGCTGATGGACAAAAAAAAAAAAAAAAAACACAAACAAATCTCATAATGTTTTAAGAAAGTTTACAAATTTTTTTTTGTTTTTTTTTTTTTTGAGACTGAGTCTCGCTCTGTTGCCCAGGCTGGAGTGCATTGGCTCAATCTTGGCTCACTGCAACCTCTGCCTCCCAGGTTCAAGTGATTCTCCTGCCTCAGCCTCCCGAGTAACTGTGATTACAGGCACACACCACCATGCCCAGCTAATTTTGGGATTTTTAGTAGAGAGAGTTTCTCCATGTTGGCCAGGCTGGTCTTGAACTCCTGACCTCAAGTAATCCGCCCTCCTTGGCCTCCCAAAGTGCTGGGATTACAGGCATGAAAGCCACTGCTCCCGGCCCAAGTTTACCAATTTGGATTGGGCCATATTCAAAGCCGTCCTGGGCTGCATGCAGCCCGTGGGCTGCGGGTTGGACAAGCTTGCTTTAAAAGATCTCTAGATTACTTATAATACCTAATATAATGTAAAGGCTTAAATAGTTGTTATACTATATTTTAAAATGTGTATAAGTTTTTACTGTTGAATTATTTTAAATATTTTTCTAGGTTGCTTTAGTACTGAATACAGTGTAAATGCTATGTTGTATTGTTTTTAATTTTTTTCACATTAAAATTAAATTTTTAAACATGTTAACAATTTTCTGTATTTGTGTCAGGTCTTTAAAATTTATATTTTTATTTATTTTTTAATTGACACATAATTGTACACATTTATGGGTTACATAGTTTTTATACAAATAATATATAGTGATCAAATCAGGGTATAATTAGCATATCCAAACCTTTTTAAAGAATATCCACAGTTGGTTGAATTCCTGAATGCGGAACCTGTGGATACCAAGGGCTGACTGTATAATCATTCTGTCATACCAAAAAATTCTTATGTGTCCTTTTGTAGTTAACCTTTCTCCTTCACTTCCAGCCCCTGGCAACCACTGATATGTATTCTATTCCTACAGTTTTGCTTTTTCCAGCACATCATATAAATAGAATCATAGCCTTTGAGTCTGGCATTTGAGATTCATCCAAGTTGTGTATATATCAGTAATTTGCTGCTTTTTGTTGTTGAGTAGTATTTCATAATATGGATGAGCCCCATTTTTCTTATCCATTTTTTAGTTTAGGGGTATTTGGAGTGTTTCCTGTTTTTTACCCAACTTCCCTTTTCAGCTCCTACTTATCTTATAAGGCATGGCTCACCTATTTCCTCCTCATCACCTTTTCCCAATGGCTCCCATATGCCCATATCACATTGTGTTACAGTTTATTGTATACACTTTTCATGAAGTCAGGAAGGCAAGTTGATTAGTTCTCTTGATGCCCCTGGCTGTCATCCCCAACATCTGCTGCAGAGCCTAGCAGTCACATGGGTGCTCAAGCAATAACTGGTGAATTGAAAGGCCTGGATTCTCTTTTCTCCAAGGCATCACCTCTTCAGGCTGTCATGTGTAGAACCAGAGAGTTTTTTTATTTTTTTTAAGGGTAAAATAAATTTAGAAAATGCTATATACTCTATATCCCTCTTAAAGATTATACATGACTAAATAAAGGTTTTGAGAAGTCATACAGTAGAAAAATATTTTTAACTTTAATTTGACCCTATATTTCTCAGGTTTGTTCCACCATAAACTACCTAAACACATCCTGCAAAACTAATATTCCTAAAGAACACACTTTGGGGAAAAAAAAATGCTAGAACCAATGTAACTCAGTTAGATTTCTTCTGATCCAGCTAGGAACCCAAGATCACATATACATTTGATAGAAGGAGATTTTTCTATACTCATAGAGTTATGTATGCATAGGTGTACGATCTTCAACTGAAGGTAACAATAGTTAAAATGGAGCCAAATAAACTCCCATCACATTTGTGCCTGTATGCTAAATAAACGTGTTCATACTGAGCCCTGCTGTACAGCAGAAGAGGGTGACCAAATAGCAAGATTTAATTCCTTCCCTTGTAATCCATTTCTGAAGTTCCCCTCTTGCCTTCCTAGAAATTTGATTTTCAAATCTTGTCTGTAGGGTTTTTGCTTGGAATTTTAAAAGGGTAAGAGAACATCACCTAATTTTATAGATGATTAGATCGAGGTGTAAAGATAATAAGCTTTGTTCAAGGTATATAGTTGCAAGGCTAGGCCTAGATCTGAAACTGGTTTTTTAGTTCTCATTTCAGTGCTTTCTTCCTGATAACCATTTGCCAGTGACTTTTTATTATTATTATTATTAAAGTGTTTGCTATTGCCAGGTGTGGTAGCTCACACCTGTAGTCCTAGCACTTTGGGAGGCCAAGGTGGGAGAATTGCTTGAGCCCAGGAGTTTGAGTCCAGCCTGGGCAACAAAATTAGACCCCATCTCTCAAAAAAAAACCAAAAAAATTAGCCAGACATGATGGCATGTGTGCCTATAGCCCCAGCTACTCAGGAGGCTGAGGTGAAAGGATTCCTTGAGTCCAGGAATCCAAGGCTGCAGTGAGCTATGATCCTGCCAGTGCACTCCAGCCTGGGTGACAGAGTGAGACCCTGTCTCAAAAAAAAAAAAAGTATTAGTTATGTTGAACCTGATAAACCAGTTTAAAGATTCCTTAATCTTACTTTTACTGAAAATTGTGAATATTTTTTTACTCCAAGAAAGGAATAAAACTGTTTCTTTCTCAGGAAGTTTATCTATCTTAAATGTTAAATGTTTTTTCCCCTCTATGAACATACCACTGTGTCATCTGTAAATGCATAATAATGTTGTAGCCCAAAGCCACAGGTAAAATATTTTTTGTCTGTATCTTCCTGAAGAGATCCTGGAACATATTTGTTTGTGAAAATACTATAGGTTAAAATGGTTGGGCTAAGGGAAAGTTACAGAGGATTCAACATCTTGAATGAAAGTGATTTTCAAGACTTAATTTAAGAGAGATTTACCAGCTTGCTCCCAATTAACACACAAAAGAAAAAAATGGCCTGAGCCCAGTTTGGCACTTTGATGACTAATGACTTTTTTTGTTTTTTTGTAGGTAGGGAAAAGTGGCAATGTACCAGCAGGCACTACAGTGGATAGTACCATCACACATCCATCTGAGTTTGACTTTTACCTCTGTAGTCATGCAGGAATTCAGGTAATTTGGAAGCTGCTTCAGATCTTTGACTTGATAGGGAGATGTTTGCAAATTCAGCAACTAGCTTGAGTGGACTTGTTATTTAACACCATGCCTAACTTTGTTAATGCTTGTATCCTAGAATTGTCATCTTTTGGTCTAGGTATCTGCTTGTAGGTGTGCTAGGCAGAAGTATTTCTGAGTTTAAGGAGTAGGTTTCAATTATTTTCTCCTCTCGTGTCATGTCAGAAACACATTAATCAGGCCAGGCACGGTGGCTCACGCTTGTAATCCAAGCACTTCGGGTGGCCGAAGTGGGCAGATCACCTGAGGTCAGGAGTTTGAGACCAGCCTGACCAATGTGGCAAAACCCTGTCTCTACTAAAAAATACAAAAATTAGGTGGGCATGGTGGCGTGCACTTATAGTCCCAGCTACTTGGGAGGCTGAGGCAGGAGAATCATTTGAACTCCAGAGGCGGAGGTTTCAGTGAACCAAGATCGTGCTACTGCATTCCAGCCTAGGTGACAGAGTGAGACTCCATCTCAAACAACAACAACAACAACAACAACAAATTAATCATGAAACTCTCTCCCCAGGGAACTAGCCGTCCCTCACATTACCAGGTCTTGTGGGATGACAACTGCTTCACTGCAGATGAACTCCAGCTACTGACTTACCAGCTGTGTCACACCTATGTGAGGTGCACTCGCTCAGTCTCTATTCCAGCCCCTGCATATTATGCCCGGCTTGTAGCATTTAGGGCAAGGTATCATCTGGTGGATAAAGATCATGACAGGCAAGTTTCTTAGGCACAATAAAGTCTCTTTATATTTTAGTAGCATGTTAAAAAAAATGAGCTACGATAGAAAACTCTTTTAAGGATTTAAACTTTCTCTCAGCGTTTAAATTGTAAGGAGCATATAAAGTTGTATGTGCCTCTGAGAGCTTGTAATGTGACTTTTGGTCCAAGAAGTGCTTAGGCTTGTTTATACTTGCATTGTGTCTCTAAAGGAGTTTAATCTGGAGCTTCTTGTGGTTCTCCCATGGAGCCAAATGCATTTCAGTTCTGCTCAGGTCCTAAGTAGCCTCAAAAAGTGGTCAACACAGTACCCTGGCTCCGGTCAAAGCAGTCACAGGGCTGTGGATTCCACTTCCTGCAAGTGAGGAGGCCTGACCAGTTCCCTTTGCTTTTGGTACATTCTGGAAAAATACCCCAGAGTGAACCTGGATGGGTATGTGAGAGTGGGGGCACAGACCATTCTCACTTTCAAATAGGCATCTTGGGAGAATAAGAGAATCTGATATTTTGACCTATTCCTGAGCTTCTATTAAATAGCTAAACAAGCTCTCTGCATTAATTTTCTTTTCCGAGTGACCATCTGTGAAGTGTAGCAGTTTCTGGGCTCTTCCCCAAGTCTGAATTCAGCTGCTAAATAGTAGACATTCCACTGCAAGTCTATTTCTGTAAGGGTTGAAAATACACTATTATGGAACATGTCCAGCTGTGGCTTTGTACCTTCCATTCTGTAATGTGCTTTCATTTATTCGGCATATTTATTAGGTATTGACTGTGTGCCCAGTACTGTACTAGGTGCTAGAAATACTAAGATGAGTAAGACGTATTTCTTGTCCACAGGGATTTTATATTTCAGTACGGGAGACAGTATAGCAAATATACAACTGACAAGTAGCCCAAGTCAGTACAGGTAAAAGTGCAATGGGACACCAGAGGAGAGGCTTTTAGAGAAGAGTTCATAGCTGGATGGGTAGAACTTGGCTCTACAAAAAAATGCAAAGAATTTTCAGGGCAGAGGGAACAATGGACACAAGGAGAGAAAGCAAGTGACGTGATTGTACGGTAGCAAATTTTCTTTGGCTAGAGGATAGTAAAGGGGAACAAGCAGGTATGAGGCTGCAAAAGTATGTTGGAACAAGACTGTTTGTTAAATGTAAAATGCTGTTCCTAGGATAGAATAGACAGGACTTAACAGTTAATTGGATATGCGTGTCAGAGGAAAGGGTGAAGTAAAAGATGGCTAAGATTTTGAGCCTAGATGATAAGGATAATAATCACTTAAAGAGAAAGTCAGAAGAGGAATGGGGATTTACAGCTTGTCAAGCCCTTTATATCACATGGTATCCTTAAGTAGTATGTTTAGAAGTTGTTGTTACTCCAAAAGACTAAAGTTCAGAGGAGTTATTATGTGTCCAAGGTTATATAGTTAGTGAGGGGAAGAAAAGAAGAGACTGGTGGCACAATAGCATTTGCTGGGAATCTCCTTCAACTAATGGTTTATTGAGACTTTGTGGTATTATGTGCTAGACATCAAGGATACAGTGGTGAGCAAGGTGGACAAAGTTGCTGCTTTCTTGGAGTTTATATCCCAGTGGGAAAATAAATAATTACCCAAGTAATAATTTAATTTCAATTGTGTTTAGTACCATGAAAGAAAAACATAGGATTCTGTGAAAGCATGTTCCAGGTGGCTCTGACCTGGACCTTAAAGTCAAAGAAGATTTCTGTGGGGAAAAATGACATTTGACTGAAGCCTAAAGAAATTAGCTAGACATAATGGGCAGTGGAAATCTTTATATGGATACTGTTAAGGATTGTGTCTTTGCAGACATTATATTATATAATTCTTGCAGCAGCCCATTAAAGAAGTTCAGTTGAGCCAACTGATGTTTAGAGGACCATAACAAATTATTCAAGAAGCTAAAGCTTAAGCCTAAGATACTCTAGAATCTAGTACGGTTTGTGCTATTTGAAATGTGTGAAGTTTGAAGTGGTCTTCTGTTATACCTGTTTTTTGTTTTTGTTGTTGTTGTTGGTTTTTTGTTTCTTTGTTTGTTTTGCTTTGTTTTGTTTTGTTTTATTCTCTTTACAGTGCGGAAGGCAGTCATGTGTCAGGACAGAGCAACGGCCGGGATCCTCAGGCCTTGGCTAAGGCTGTGCAAATCCACCATGATACCCAGCACACGATGTATTTTGCCTGAGAGTCTCAGAAAAAGAACTCAACCAATTTGGCACCCCATGCAGCCTCAAAATGTTTCAAATGCCTACCGCCTCTAGATCGAGCCAAGTTGACTTCAGGTGGTCTTCTACCAGCAGCTCGGAATAGTTGCACTGAATCTATACTTTGCAGCACTGTCTGATGCGTCAACAAAATTGAGCCATTTTTTTAAAGTAATAGATACTCATAGATTATCTTTTCTGATGCACTGGACTGAATTTTTACCTCAATGTGCAAAGGCTGATCAGCCTGAACTTTCTAAAGGACTTTACAAGAAGGGTTTCTATGGAATATTTTGCTAGCTGTGGTGTTCACCGCATCCCTCTAGTCTTAGAAAAGAAGATTATTCCTTTTTTCTGTAGTCATTGAGTGGGGTGTATGCATAAGTGGGAGAGAAAAACCAAACAATCTACTTCAGTTCAGTGTAACTATTTAATTGTGTGGGTCCATAGACTTTTTAATGAAGATTTCTGACTTTGCCACTGTAAATGCCTTTAATGAGCATTAATTTTTGAAAGTTTGTTACAGAGTTTTATTAGTTTTACTACTTTATCTTATTGGTCTCTGCAGACTTGTGCTGGTGCAAGTACACGCTGCCAGGCAATTTGCACTATATTTGGCTGCAGATTCAAACAGGCAGTTCTCTTATTTGGTCGACTTTTGTGAATGTGTGACATAAACAGATGTAATGCATGTCACAGTGACAGAGATAACACTGCCATGATAAAAGTACTCATGTTTCCCCCATTTGAAAAAAAAAATTGCTTTTAGTATTTTTCCAAGTTTTCAAAAGTGCCCATTTTATGCTGCTGTGTGGTTTGTTAGATCTAAATGATTTTTAAACTTTTCTCATAGAAACTTAACTTTGGCAATAAACATTTTTTAAGGTCTCTCCTCTTCCTTCCCCAACAATGTAGTTTTCTAGATGAGATTTCGGTATGATTTTATCAGCTATTTCTTATATATCATAATCTGGCAATTTCTGAAACCAATCAGAAAAGACATATATTTCCATGCCTTTTTAAAGAATTATTTTTACCTGTTTTATATTCACAGTTGGTGTCCTGTCACTTTGTTTTAAAATAAGCTAGAACCAGGATGCTTCCTTATTGGAAAGGCTTTGCCAGTCCTTAAGGTACATTGAGTGATGCTGCAACTTGCAAAAATGTACCAGCATTTAAAATTTCTTTTCCTGGGAATCAAGGTAACTCACACAACTACTTGCAGTACAGATTTTTTGCTTCTCTTTCGACCTGAAATGTACTTGGTGGGTTTTCCTTCCTTTTATTAAACTAAAACTGTGTGGAAAAGGTTGATTTTTCTTAATAGATTCTGAATTCCACTCACAGGGAGATGGGATTCCTTTCTTGTCCCAACAAAGGGAGTTGCTCTAAAGCGAGCATCAGTTAAAATGTAGGGGAAAATGTATTCTGTATGTAGTGTAGATAATACTTTGTGAACGGACAACAGTTACATAGTGTCTTGGTAGCTCCAGCCAGTGTTTCCCAGCCCAGAGTTTACTGACTTGTAATTCTCTATCCGGGACATCAGGAGTGAGGGATGGAAAAGGGGATAAAAGGCCTGGAGCCACACTCCATATGGCTGAGGGAGGCGCTAGGGAAAGAGATAGACACAATGGGGTAAAAACAATTTTGTCTCCCCTGCCTGGCAACTGCTGGTGGGGAAATGATGGTGAAGGGTGTTTGCTAGAACTCATGAGACGTTTCAAATCTCATAAACTAGCCTTCTCAAAATCCCAGCAATATAAAGCACTGTTTTTCTTCAGTCATTTAAATAAACTTGTAAATACATTGAAGTTTACATTTCCATGTGCTGTTGATCAATGGCGCCACCTGTGTTTGCTGATGAGCCTGGTCTCTGAGAGAGTTTTATAATGTCGATCGAGGCCTGTTGCTCATTAAGATGAGTGCAGACGTCCTTAATCCCTGCAGATAGTGGGATGAAAAGCAAGTTCTGTAACTGAAGCACAACATAGCCAGGAGTGAAGAGATGGCAGATGTTAATTTCTTAAAATTTTCCTTTTTTTTTTTTTTTTGCAAATACCTCGCTTGGATAATACAAATCAGGACATGTTGGTGAGGGGCTGGCTGCTGCTTTTATTCACACTTGTTCAGGGAGAGCACAGAGAATACCCTTCAGCATGGCCACTCTGGACCCAAGAGGAGGAAAAAACGGAAGCTTTTTTAGGAGAAGGAGGACTCGCAGGAATCCAAGATGTGAAGAACTCTTGGTGGCCGGCTGGCCAGCGGGCACCACACCTGCACTTGAGTGCCTCGGGCTTGCTTATTAATAATGCACAGAAGAAGCGTCACTTCTCACCATCTCCTGGCATGTATGGAGCAGGGAGCAAGGCCATGTTCCAAAATCCCTGATTAGCTTGTCTTGCTCTACGCTCGACCTCGAACAATACAGCTTGTAAGACCTCAGTCAGTCCTGGCACGCTGGGGTAAATCGGTGTGGTGGTGGAAGAAAAGCCGGGAGGCCTATTTTTATAGAAAATAGTACCACTAAAGGTGCAATGCTGTCATTTTGGACAAAAGGGAAGAAATTTGGAAGAACTGGGATTATTGGCAAAAACTTGCTGAGGGGTGAATCTTGAAGAGCTAATCACTGCAGAACCAGAGTTGCAGCAATATGATTGCGAGCAAGTCTGAATGCATGGTTTTACTTTAACTCAGCTTGACAATTTTAATAGGTAACCCCCTCGGGACTGACTGAGTCGTTACGCATGTGTCAATCAATGGGAGGTGTGCATTCTCTAGAAGTAGTTTTAGGCTGTTTGGTTTGGTTTGGTTTTTGTTTTTTAAATGCAGCCTGTTTAGGCACTGTCATGTGGTGTGAAAGATTTAAATGTAGCAATGCTAAAGAATAATAATTTGGGGATAAGAAGTGGGGACATTGGCCGGGCGCGGTGGCTCACGCCTATAATTCCAGCACTTTGGGAGGCCGAGGTGGGTGGATCACCTGAGGTCGGGAGTTCGAGACCAGCCTGACCAACATGGTGAAACCCCATCTCTACTAAAAATACAAAAAATTAGCCGGGCCTGGTGGTGGATGCCTGTAATCCCAGCTACTCGGGAGGCTGAGGCAGGAGAATCGCTTGAACCCAGGAGGTGGACGGTGCAGTGAGCTATTACTCCAGCCTGGGCAACAAGAGCGAAACTCCATCTCGAAAAAAAAAAAAAAATGGGGACATTAAGAGAGTGGTGATGACCCAAATGTTGAACCGATTATGTTTTGGTGGTGGTGGTGTTAACTGTTGAATCCTGAATGGCTTATAAAGTGAATTAGCTGGCTTAATGCAACCAGCATTCTGGGCAGCAGAACATATTCATTCTTACTGTAAATTCTATTTGCTGCTTCCAAAGGTGATGATTTTCAAGCAGACATGTTCTATATGGTCTGTGTTTTAGGATCTGGTGCCCAGCCTCCATCAGAGCTTACCTACCTGGCAAAGCTGCCTACCCTTAGAGTGGGAAAATATAATCCACTGTTTAATAAGGCTCACCCTCTCCACCCTGTCCTAACGACCTTTTGTGAATGTGCTGTAATATTTTCTTGCTCAATAGCAAGGTGGTAGCTCTGCTTTCATTTTAAGAAAGTGGAGGCTGAGGGCATTGTATCAATACTGTTTCAACTCCAAGAAGTTTTCCTTGTAAAATTAAAGGAAAGATCTTGTTATTGATTAACCATTTTCTTATGCCTTGCTATTGACATATTCATGCTCTTTCTATGTCTAGTGGCTGAAAATGTTTGCATTTGTTCCTTTGACTAATGGTGTGATTTTTGTTTCTATATTATTAGACCTGTAATGTTTTAAAATGTATTTTATTAAATTTGGACTGGATGTATGTCTCTAGCAATACGAGGTACTTTCTAAACTATTAAGGGAGGGGTTGTATCCTCATGTTGAGATAAGATGATGGTCGTTTAAATTTTGCAATTTTTTTTTTGGCCTGCAGGGATATTTTGTGTTTATGTGTCCAAAAAAGGAATAAATTGGCATTCTTGTGCCAAAAGTTGTTTTTCCTGTCAATTGTCTAATAAGTATACAGTACACTGTAATGGCAACATACGTGGTTGCTTTTTAAAAACAATTTCCTCTGTGTGAGAAATTTTACAAAGAACAGTGGAAAAACTTTGTGTTTTTAACTCTTGGGACTCCCTATTTTTAAAAATTGCTATTTGGTATACAATTATTATGTGTCAATTAAAACTAAAATAAAACTTTTAAAAAAGAAATTGCTATTTGAGAATTTTAGAAGAGCTTTTCAGCAACACTTCACATATGAAAACTTTTACAAGATTGATCGGAGTTCTGGATATGGCTCTTAATGGGAAGATCTATTTAAGCAATGCTTGAGAAGAATCTGCAGTCTCCAGAGGGCAGTGTGGCCACACACTTTATAAGACTTAAGTTCTCCAGAGGAGAAGCTGCTCCAATTCATCCAACCTAGGGCTATCCAGTCTCATCTTTAGAAAAATTCTCACCAGCAAAGCCCTTTTGCTAAGTCATGGCAGGGACAATTCCTTAGGGAATTTATAGTTTGCCAGAGGAGAAAGTTCTGCATATAACTCTACTAGAAGGCAGTTAGTTGCTTTTTCCATCTGTATACTATCTCCTCCATATTTATCAGTTATCAAACATTTATCATGAACTGGGTACATGCTATGCTCTGCCTAGGTGCTAGGAACACAGAAGAGTAAAAAATTAATTATTCAAAGAATTCATTCTAATTTGGCATGAGATGGAGGAAGAGGCAGTGAGATTAACACTGGGTGCCTACTATCTGTCAGTCACTTTATTTATTTGTTTATTTATTTGTTGAGTATAGAGTCTCGCTCTGCCGCCCAGGCTGGAGCGCAGTGGTGCGATCTCGGCTCACTGCAAGCTCCGCTTCCCGGGTTCACACCATTCTCCTGCCTCAGCCTCCCGAGTAGCTGAGACTACAGGCACCCGCCACCTTGCCCGGCTAATTTTTTTGTATTTTTAGTAGAGACGGGGTTTCACCATGTTAGCCAGGATGGTCTCAATCTCCTAACCTCGTGATCTGCCCGCCTTGGCCTCCCAAAGTGCTGGAATTATAGGCATGAGCCACCATGCCTGGCTTATTTTTTAAATTATTTTTTATTTAGTTTTTTAAGACAGGGTCTCACTCTGTCACCCAGGCTGGAGCGCAGTAACACGATCATAGCTCCCTGCAGCCTTGACCTCCCAGGCTCAAGCAATCCTGCCACCTCAGCCTGCTGAATAGCAGGAACTACAGGAAGTGCGAATCACCATGCCCTGCTAATTTCTGTATTTCTGTAGAGATGGTGTTTTGCCATGTTGTCCAGGCTGGTCTCAAACTCCTGGGCTCAAGCCATCCTCCCACCTTGGCCTCTCAAAATGCTGGGATTACAGGTGTGAGCCACTGCACCGGGTCTGTCAGTCACTTTCTATTGATATCTTCATCCCAGCAACAGAGCGTTGCTGGGCACTGTATCAATACTGCTTCAAGAATTTTTCCGGCCGGGCGCGGTGGCTCAAGCCTGTAATCCTAGCACTTTGGGAGGCCGAGATGGGTGGATCACGAGGTCAGGAGATCGAGACCATCCTGGCTAACACGGTGAAACCCCGTCTCTACTAAAAAATACAAAAAACTAGCCGGGTGAGGTGGCGGGCGCCTGTAGTCCCAGCTACTTGGGAGGCTGAGGCAGGAGAATGGCGTAAATCCGGGAGGCGGAGCTTGCAGTGAGCTGAGATCCGGCCACTGCACTCCAGCCTGGGCGACAGAGCGAGACTCTGTCTCAAAAAAAACAAAAACAAAAACAAAAAAAAAACCAGTGTTGCTGGGATAAAGATATCAATAAAAAAAGATATCAAAAAAATTAAAAAGATCAATAAATATCAATAAAAAGATATCAAAAAAAGTTGCTGGGATAAAGATATCAAAAACTGATAGGCCGGGTCAAATGCTTTCCCTTACTCCTTCTTTGGGAGATAGGATCCCTCTTTTTTATAGAAAATTTGTTGTTGTTGTTACTATTATTATTGAGATGGAATCTCACTCTGTCACCCAGGCTGGAGTGCAATGGCGAAATCTTGGCTCACTGCAACCTCTCCCTCCCAGGGTTCAAGCGATTCTCCTGTCTCAGCCTCCCAAGTGGCTGGGATTACAGGTGTGTGCCACCACGCCCAGCTAATTTTTGTATTTTTAGTAGAGACGGGCTTTCAGCATGTTGGCCAGGCTGGTCTCAAACTCCAGACCTCAGGTAATCCGCCCACCTCAGCCTCCCCATGTGCTGGGATTACAGGCATGAGCCACCGCACCCGGTCAGAAACCTCATTATTTTGTATGATTCATGTATGTCCAAATGGCCTTATTCCCACCTCACCCCCCACCACTTGTGTCATGCTCATGTCCATCCCTGAATTTCTGGGGGATGTGTTACATCAGTCAGGAATGGCTTGTGGGCCCACTCCTGTTAGGGGGATGGTGGCCAGTAAGTAGGGGAATGACAGACTGATCAGCACCATCACAAGGCATGTGTCCCTTTTGTTTCTCTGTTTCTTTTTCTCTGTCTCTTGCCTCTGATTTCTTCTGTGTTGACTATTCTCCAAAGTTAGTGGCAAGTCTTGTTTTTTTTTTCTTTGACAGGGTCTTGCTCTTTTGTCCAGGCTGAAGTTCAGTGGTATCATATCACAGCTCACTGAACCTCAAACTCCTGGGCTCAAGCGATCCTCATGCTTCAGTCTCCTGAGTAGCAGGGACTACAGGAGTGTGCCACCATCCCCAGCTAGTTTAAAAAATAATAATTTGTAGAGATGTAGTCTTACTATATTGCTCAGGCTGACATTTTTTTAAGAGATGAGATCATGCTATGTTGTCCAGGTTGACCTCAAACTCCTGGCCTCAAATGATTCCCCATCCTCAGCCTTCTAAGTAGCTAGGATTATAGGTGCGAGCCACCACGCCCAGCCAGTGGCAAGTCTTTAAAGAGAAGAGGGACAAAATCAGGGGTAGATGGGTTGGAAGAAAACTAGCAACTATATTACAAATTGAAGAAGGAAGAAAATAAATTTAGTTTAACAAACATTTCTGGAGTTTCTATGACATGCTAGGAAATACAAAGATGAAAGACAGAAGTTAAAAAAAAAGATCATGATATGTTTGAATTACAAGTAATCTTAGTAATTTTTGATTATAAGGGATGAAGGAGGAATTGGACGCAAGGCAGGCACCAAGTCCTGACAGGACAGGACAGAAGTTAAATGGCATTTCACGGAGTTTAGAGTTTATCACATAGGTACAGGGGAATAACAGACTCTAATCTGTTAATTTTGCCAGCAGTATTGTGACCAGGTTGAAGCTGAAGTTCTGCGAAAGAGAAGTTCAATTTTTATTGCAATAGCCAAGCAAAAGATGATAAGGCTTGAATCTGAGCAGTGATACTGTCGTTGAAAGAAGGAATGAACACATGAGGTAGTCAGAAAATAGAAAACGCAGAACTTGGCGACAAAATGGATACAGAGAGTGAGGGAAGGAGGCAGACTCATTAGAAGGGCTCTCAGGTTTCTGGCTTGGGCAGCTGGGTAAATAATAATGCCACTGAGAGAACGAACAGAGAAGAAGAAGAGTTTTAGGAAGGAGGGAGGTGGTAAGTTCAGTTTTGTACAAGCTGGAGATGAGAGCTTGGTGCCTTTGGACTGGAGAAAGAGATTGGGAGCCGTAAATACATAGGTGGTAATTAAAACCATTCAAATATGTGCCCAGAAAGATCACGCAGGCCAAGAAGAGATGAAAAACTTAAGAGTCCTAGGGGACACAAATATTTAAAGGGTAGACCAGAGGAAGAGAGATGTCCAAAGGAAGTAAAACATGAATGGTCCTGCGCAGTGGCTCACGCCTGTAATCCCAGCACTTTGGGAGGCTGAGGTGGGCGGATCACGAGGTCAGGAGTTCAAGACCAACCTGACCAGCACGGTGAGAACCCATCTCTACTAAAAATACAAAAATCAGCTGGGCGTGGTGGCAGGTACTTATAATCCCAGCTACTCGGGAGGCTGAGGCAGGAGAATCACTTGAACCCGGGAGGTGGAGGCTGCAGTGAGCCAAGATTGCGCCACTGCACTCCAGCCTAGGCAGTAGAAGGATACTCTGTCTCACAAAACAAAGAAACAAAACCCATGGACAAATGGATACAAGAGAACAAGTTGTCTTAGAAATCAAGGGAAAAGAGCATTTCATCAAGTATGTACAGGTTGGACTATGTAGGAGTTAGCTGTGTGACACTGGGCAAGTTAACCTCTCTTAGACTCAAGTTTTCTTATTCATAAAATGGAGATAGTACTAGTACTTACATCCCAGGGTTGGAAAGATTAAATGCAATCATATACATAAAGGCTTGGAAACACATATACATAAGCTACAAAGAAGAAGGAAGTGGCTAACTATCCAATAGTGATCTAAAAAGACAAAATCTGAAAAGTTTCCATTGGAATTTGCAGCCAGGAAGTTATAAGTGACCCTAGTGAAACCAATATCTGTGGCTGGAGAAGGCAGAAGCTTGACTATAGAGATCTGAAGAACCTGTAGTACATTAGTTGGTAGGTTGGATATAAAGGGAAATAATGAATTCTGATATTAGCTGGGGTAGGAAATGATTCGTTTTTCAGAATGGGAGAGATTGAGCACATTTACGCACTAGGGAAGGAGTCAGTAAAGAGGGACAAATTGGAAATACTGGAAAGAGAAAAGACGCACAATAGAGGGCAAACTTGAAGGAAGTTGGAGGGAATGAGATCTGATGTACAAGTGGAAAAAACTAGAAGAGGAAAGAGTGCGAGAAGACTCTACTATATTGCCTTTTCTAATTTTTTTGACGTACGTGTATAGTAAAATATTTAGATCTTAAGTGTGGAGCCCAACTTTTTGCAAAGCAGAGACATCCATGCAACTTCCACCCAGATTTAAAAACAGAAGCCCTCCAGGACCCCTTCTGAGTCACTACCTGAACCTATTCTGGTCAAAGATAACCACTATCTTTTTTTAAAACAGTTTTTTGAGGTGTCATTGATATAGAAAAGCTGCACATATCTAACGTTACAGTATAATGGGTTTGAGCATATGCATCACCATAATCAAACATATCCACTGTCTTGACCTGGGTGTGATGGCACAAATCTGTAGTCCCAGCTACTTGGGAGGCTGAAGTAGGAGGATCTCTTGAGGTCAGGAGGTCAACGCTGCAG